CGCGCGGGGATCTGAGGCGCCTTCTCGGAGAGGGGCCGGTGCCTGGGCCCTCTGCTCGGCGCCGGCCTCCGTCTCTTCACCCGCTCTTTCCCTGCCCTCGTCCCCAGCGGCGCGTCCCTCGGCGGCCCCCGCGCCTACTCGTGCGGCGTGACGCTCCCTCGAGGCAGGACGAGGCGCTTCGCTGTCGCCGCGACAGCCTCAGCCCGGACCGCCGCCGCCCCCCGCTTCCCTGGCGGCTACCCGGTGCCCATGTGCTCCGGCCGGAGTCCGCGTGTCGCCGCCCCCGGGCGGCCCTGCCCTCCGTGCTCGCAGCCTTCCCTCCATCCGTCTGCTCGTCCTCCCGTGCGCGGCGTGGTCCGCCGACCTGCCCGCGGCCCCCAGAGAGCCAGGCGCCGTCCCGGGCTCGGGGCGAGGAGCTGCCGTCGACGGAGGGGAGCCGGTGCTTACCCAGCGGCGCGTCGTCTCCTCGTTGCCCGACGCCGCGCGCCCCGCTGGTGACAGACGCCTCGCGGCCCAGCCCGCAGCTCCGGCCGGATCCCCGCGGCTCCGGCTTCCCCGTCGCGGCGGTGTCCCCACTCTCCCCGCCGCCCGCCCTCCCGAGTTCGCGGACGCCCCTGCCGCTTCCTGCTCCCTGGCCCGCGGCGCTGCGCCGAGTTCTGTCCGGTCGCCGCTGTGTCCCCAGCCCGCGAGCGCGCGTGAGAGGCGCTCGGTCAATAGGCGAAGCGCCGGGCCCCGCTGATGGCGCCGCCCTCGCCGGCGCTCGCGCGAGGCCGTGGCGTCCGAGCCCCCGCTCCGCGTGTGCGCCTGGCGAGCGCCCGCTGCGCGTCCTCCGCCGCTGCTCCACGGCAGCCTCGCTTCGGGCGGCCCCGCGCTTGCTGGCCGGCCTGCCGCAGGCGCCGGTGGCAGTCGGCGCGGCGCCGGGGGCGAGCTCAGCTGGGCGGGGGGAGGCGCGCTCCGCGAGGACAGCGCGAGGCCGGCGCGCGGGCGCTGGTTTGCCTGCAAGGTGCTCGGCTGGTCCTGGGGACCCTACCCGGCTCGGACCCGAAGGGGGTTTTCCAGGCGCCGCCCCGCTCCTAGCCCGTGTCCCGAGAGTGACCCTTTGTGAGCTGGAGGGCCCGTCGCGACGACTGGGATCGTGCTGGGCAGCAGCCTTCTGCGAAATGCCTGGCGGTCTGCACTAAGAGAAAGCTTAGATTCCATTCCTGGGCTGCTGACTCGCAGGTGACCTCAGACAGGCCAGCTGCCCCCTGGAGCCTGTTTCTGCAGATGTGAACCCTTTTGAGAGCAGTGCTGAGCATGGAGGGAAGTCACTGTGAAAATGCAGTAATATCCTGACATCAGTCACTCAGGGCTTGGGGAAAGTCAGTTGAATATTGGCATTTTTGCGTCTCTCCTACGGTCTTCACTTAGTGTGTCTGTAGAAGTCTGAGTGGTGTGTGAGTTGAAAAAACAGCTGTGCTTTGAAAAGCTTGCTGCTAAGCGTGAATCTCAGTACACGCGGAAGAGGCGGCCTCATCCTTGGAGTCAGCATCCGTGGGCAGCGGCCACTTCTAGCTATCGTGTCCATGTGGGCTATGACTCTGTTCCTCGAGAGAGCCATCTCAGAGTGGGCTGGCTGTGTCTCAGCTTTCCACCGAAAGGACTCTGTTGTAGAGACTGGTACTCCCAGCCCCCTGGGAGCTTCCGCTCAAAGGTTTCCAGCCGCGTGGGTCTCTAAGGAAGGTAACTTCCAGGTTCCGTTGACCCTGGCTCTTTCAGGAATGGAGTTCCTGGTGTCTTCTAGAACATTGGACTGGAAGTCAATAAGTTTTTTAACTTTACCTTTGAGGCACGTCGTTTAATTTCTGTGCCTCAGTTTCTCCCCTAAATACTTAGCTCGGATTTATTCGTTGTGCAGATGAGCGAGAGACAACGTAGCACTTCGTTTGTTCCTTAAAATACAGGTAGAGGTGTTACCCTGAGGCTTTGGATTGCAGAGCACAGTTCCGGTCGTGTGTGTTGTGTCTTGAGAATCACCTGTTGAAACCTTCAGGTCTGCATTTGAGGTGAAGTCTCTCCTTGATCCCTGGGTCGGTTCCCAGTGAGCTCTCTCTTCGCTGACTCTTTTCTATGTCATATGGTTATATTCCTTTGTAGCGTCCGATTGTTAGCATCCTGCTGTTTGCTACTTTCTACTTTTTTGCTGATTGTGTGATGTGTGTTTAATGTCCTTTGTCATTCCCAACACTAAGCTTCTGAGCATCGTGAAGGTCTTTGATTTATTTGTGTCCCCATCATTCTTTGATCATAAATGTGTAGGAATTGAGGAAGCAGTAACACTCATTTCCACAATGATTCCCTTCCTGATGAACGACCATTTTCTCCTTTATTCGTCCTTCTCTTGGCACTTCTGTATATAGTATTTGTTTTCCGTAATTTTTCTGTTCCAATTAGAGTACAAGTGTGAAAGGGCCTCGTGGTGTTCTGCTTTGATGCTTGTTCATCGCACGTCTTTTTGAGCCTCTCCTATGTTCCATCCAGCGTGTTAAGGTATGGTCTGCTGATGTAGACAGGAACGCTTCGCTTCAGTGTTTGCTTGCTTGCAGGGTGAATTCTTGGGTGCAGCTTGAGGCCGTGTAATGCCCTGATTAAACTCGGGAGTCATGTAGGCCTCGGTTCAAGCCCTGGCTCCAGTATAGATTAGCTTTGTGATCTCAGGCTAGTTCCTTAACCACTCTTAAACCTGAGTTTCCTGCTCAGATAGTGGGAACAGTAAGAGTATCCGCCTCATAAAGGAAGTTGTCAATATTCAGTAAGACCAAGTGTTAAATACTCACTTAGGACAGTGCCTGACAGGTAACTGCTCAAGAAATGTTGGCTGTTCTTGTTATCAAGAACTCACCTTCAGCAAAGATTGTTCTTGACACCTTATAACAAAAAGACCATAACATGACGTGGTTTTACCTGAGTTGTAATTTGCCAGAGTTGTAATAGAGGGACCGTTACATTTCTAAAGTATAAAAGTTACTGCTTTGGACCGGCCCCGTGGTGCAGCGGTTAAGCGCATGCATTCCACTTCTTAGTGGCCCGGGGTTCGCCAGTTTGGATCTCGGCTGGGGACATGGCACCGCTTGGCAAAAGCCATGCTGTGGCAGGCGTCCCACGTATAAAGTAGATGAAGATGGGCATGGATGTTAACTCAGGGCCAGTCTTCCTCAGCAAAAAAGAGGAGGATTGGCAGTAGTTAGCTCAGGCTAATTTTCCTCAAAAAAAAAAAAAAAAAAGAGTTACTGCTTTGCTCTAGAGCTTGATCTCCAATCTTGTTAGTAGGAGAATCTCCCCCCATCTCCTCCCTGTAAAACAGCTAATATGTCCAGCGGAAAAGGCAGAGAGGCTCTGTACTGACCAGGCCTTTAACCTGCTCCTCTGAGGCAAACTGATGCCCTAGAGCAGTGGGAATTGAGGGATGCATTTGGGTACTGGTTTTAAAGTGTAGATTTCCCCGTGCTCAGCCTCTGAGAAAGAGTAGCTGTAGGTGGTGAGGAGGATTCTGAAGTGTTGCTGTGTTGTTCCCCAGGTGATTTTGCTCTTTGTGGTCTAAGGACCAACTACATGTTTGAGAAATCCTCCTTAGGGACATTGTATCTGTTCCCCTCCCCAAAGCAGCAGGGCATGGTTGTATATCCTAGTTGTAAGTCCTAGTTCTTCTATGTGAGCTGCTGGCACGGTGAGGCTACTGACAGGCGGGTGGTGTGGTTGTGAGACTGCGAAACAAACTCGGGGATGTCACCGAGCTTTAACCACTAGGCCATCAGGGCTGGCTTAAGACAGTGTACTTTTTCCAAAAACTATACAGATTTTGGTGTAAGAAATACCCAGAGCTTGAATTTGAGAAAACAAGGAATTCTTGACTGTATTGGTCTTCTTAGTCTCTTCTGTGACTCACTGCTACCTAGCTTGTTATAGACCTGAGTTCTGAAAGCAAATGCAGATAAATTAAAGGTCATAGATGCCCAGGCTGTTTGAAATTGGAAGATGGATGATCAAGAAAGAGTGATTTAGGGGCTGGCCAGTGGCGTAGTGGTTAAGTTGGCATTCAGTAGTGAATGCTTTCTTGTTATCAGGAAAACGATTAGGGATTCCACACTGATTTTCTTTTTCTCTTCAAAGCCTTAACCCCTAGGAAAGAGATTTATAATTTTTAGGTGTGTTTAACTGTTTTGATGGGAAGGTACTGAGAAGAGCAATTTTAAATAGAAATAGATTGAGCTAGTGCTTTGTGTCACAGTCTTAATGGGGAAAACATTTTCAGTTGATTCTCATAGTTAATACAGGGTTGCATTCTTTTTGTTAAATGTTTAGTCCATTTTATGAGGATGTTTTTTGTCTTTTCTCTGCAGATAAGCTTTCTCAGCAGTGTTAATTATTTCCGGTTACTATCCTAGGGCTGATTTAGGTTCTCACAAAATATAATCCCCATAATTTTGTTTGTTTGTTTTGGTGAGGAAGATTGGCTCTGAGCTAACATCTGTTGCTAGTCTTCCTCTTTTTTGCTTGACGAAGACTGTCCCTGTGTGCCATTCTTGCTCTATTTTATATGTGGGATGCTGCCACAGCCCTGGTTGCCGAGTGATGTGTAGGTCCTTGTCCAGGATCCAAACCTGCGAACCCTGGGCCGCCAAAGCAGAATGGGCAGACTTAAACGACTATGCCACTGGGCCAGCCCTCCCTAGGCTTTATACCCCTTTCTTGAGAGAATTTCTTAATGGTTACATTTTGAAATTTAATTCTAGTCTTTAAAAAAAACCCCAAAGTATGTTTCCTGAAATTCTAATTGCATGGATTTGGGATGAAGGAAGGAATTGGGGTAAGCCCATGGTGGGCAGGATATCTGAAGAGCTCACTGGGGGCAGGGACTGTATCTGCTGTGTGTTTCTTTATCCTATGTGTGTAGCGATGCATGTGACACCTAGTGGGAATTCATTCATAAATTAATGAACATAGTACCATTGATCATGACTGTTCCACTCTACTTGGTTGAGAAAGTGAATTATAGCATGAAGTTAGAAAATTTTCTGGAGGTGATGGGGGTCCTGAAATATACAAAGTCCTTTTCTAGATTGTTCTTCCTTATCGGTCACTACATTTTAATAAGGAAGGAGATTGAAATACTAAATTGAAGCATCTTCTTAGCATAGAAAACGTACTGTAATTTCTTAGTGTGTTCCATTAATTCTAAAGTACACATTTTTTCACACTTTAAATACCTCTGAAATTGGAATATGTTTTCTTGTTGATGACTTGTAGAATGTAGATAATCATGTGTCCTGCAATTAATGGCATCTTAAATGTGTTGAAATATGGTGGCCATCCTCATTTGTAGCACAATATCTGCTTGGGTTTAGGTTAAAATCCTATATTTTAGGGTGTTTTTTTTTTAGGGTTTTATTTTTTCTTTTTCTCCCCAAAGCCCCGTGGTACATAGTTGTGTATTTTTAGTTGTGGGTCCTTCTAGTTGTGGCATGTGGGGTGCTACCTCAGCTTGGTTTCATGAGCAGTGCCGTGTCCGCGCCCAGGATTCGAACCAACGAAACACTGGGCCGCCTGCAGCAGAGCACGAGAACTGAACCACTCGGCCCCAGGGCCAGCCCCACATTTTAGTTTCTTAATGTTTATTTTTTATTTATTTTTTTAAAGATTTTATTTTTTTTCCCCCAAAGCCCCCCAGTACATAGTTGTATATTCTTTGTTGTGGGTCCTTCTAGTTGTGGCATGTGGGACACTGCCTCAGCGTGGTTTGATGAGCAGTGCCATGTCCGCGCCCAGGGTTCGAACCATCGAAACACTGGGCTGCCTGCAGGCGGAGCATGCGAACTTGACCACTCGGCCACGGGGCCAGCCCTACTTAATGTTTATTTTGAACATCAAACTTCCAAGAACAGTAAAACAGGAATACCGTCCAAAATTTTAACAAATTGTTTTGCGCGTTGAGTTTCTTGCTTTCAGAGAAGACAAAATAGCTGTGAGACAGCTTAGTCAAGTTTGTACAATCTAAAAGAGCAAAATCACCACTGCTTTCTGTAATTTTCAGGAGCAGTAGAGAACTGTGGACAATTCTGCTTGGAAGGTCGGCTCTGAGAGAACTGGTAAGTGGTGGTGTTCTTGAGTGGATTCTATCGTTCTTTGTTTGTGTAGCTTATATTAGGGAAAAACCCTGCCTTCTCTTTGACCTGGGAAGTAAACACATTTTCTTATTCCTAAAACTTTGTAAACATGCATTCCCTTTTTCTCTCTGCTGAAATGCGGTATGTCTTAGAGCCTGGCTGCTGAAGATTTCTAAATCTCCACCTTTCTATGTCCCTTAGTGATTCCTTTTCTGAAAAGCTCCCAGTGCTGCTTGACTGGCTACTGAGGGTAGAGGTACAAATACCACTCCATTTCCTCAGGCTAAGAAAGATTCTCAGGCCTTTGTTCCATCTCATACTTGACTTGCCTTTTTTTCCTTTTCCGTCTAGCTAGCTCCTGAGGTCACAGAGGCTGTGGTTTCTAGGACTCTTCCAAGTGTATAATCAATAAAGGACAGTTCTTTGTGTTGATCCTTGGGTGTTCTGACCTGTGAGGGTGAAGTGTGAAGACAATATTCAATTATTGCTCCTTTTGTTATTGTAATTAACATAGTGAATGTTACACTTTTTTTAGAGCCTTAACATTTTTGTGATGACTTCATCTGATCATTCCACTTCTCGGAATTTATTTTATTCTATTTTATTTTTTTTATTTTTTAATTTTTTTAAAGATTTTATTTTTTCCTTTTTCTCCCCAAAGCCCCTTGGTACATAGTTGTATATTCTTCGTTGTGGGTCCTTCTAGTTGTGGCATGTGGGACGCTGCCTCAGCGTGGTTTGATGAGCAGTGCCATGTCTGCGCCCAGGATTCGAACCAACGAAACACTGGGCCGCCTGCAGCAGAGGGCACGAACTTAACCACTGGGCCACAGGGCCAGCCCCTCAGAATTTATTTAAAAAAACTGAATCTTGAAAACGTTTTGTGCACAGAGCTCTTTACCATAGCGTTATTTATGTTAATAAAGAATTACTGTCAGCTTAAGTGTTTCTAACATTAGAGGGATGATAAATAAATTATGATCTATCCACTTGGTAAAATATTATGCAACTACTAGAAAGGATGTTTATCAAGATTTTTCATAAGAAGGTTAAATCATTTTGTTAGAGTTAAGCAAAGAGAAGGAGGCTGCAGAATTCTGTATTCAAAATGATTTCAACTGTGGGGGAAAAGGCATATTAAATAGACTCAAAGGAATATGTTACCCTCAATGTGATCCTGGAGTATGATTCAAATTGCATTTTTATAATTTCCTTACTCTTTTCCAGAATCAGATTGAGGCAGAACTGAGTAAACATTGGCAGCGGCTGTTAGAGGGGCTTTCTTACTACAAACCTCCCAGGTATGGCTCTTCTGTGCGTGTGGTTAGAGTGATTCCCCTGAGGATCCGGCGTGGATGGACCCATCCTCATGTTAGGAGATTGCTGAGAGAACGCAGTTTGGTTACCAGGGACAAGAGTAAGGCACGTGTTTCTGTCTGTTGAAAGGAGGGGAAATTCCTTCTAGAAATACGGTATTGTTGAATCCAATTATGTAGCCCAAGTGTCTGGGCATGAGGACTTATTAAATATTGAGTCACTATTCTTAATATTTATTTTGGTCCATCAAGTTTGTGTGAGGCACTGTCAGCACCACATTCTGGGGTGTAGCAGTGAACGATGATAATAGCAGCTGATGTTTATATAGTGTTTACTATGTACCAGTTACTTTCCTAAGCATAGACTTAGCATAAGTTATTTAATCCTCCCGTCAGCCCTTTGAGTTACGTACTATTTTTATTCTTTGTTCAAATATATAGATTTTCTTTTACTGAGCAGTTGGAAACAACAATGGTAAAATATAAAGTGGTTACAAAAGAGAATGCACCTTGTCGGAGTAGACTCTTGTTAATTCCTAGTCCAGATCTCATTCTGTCATGGATCATAGTTCCCAAGCCACCCTCATTTCCCTTCTACTTCTGAGCATTGGTTGATTTTGTTACGTCTTCACCTTCCATCTTCATTCTCTTAGGTTAGTGAGGATCTTTCATTTTTCATCCTGTCACCCCTTCCCCCATAATTGTTCTGAAGTAGCTCCCAGACGTCATATTATTTTATCTGTAAATGCTTTACTCTGTATTTAAAATATATGGACTTTTAAAAAGGATAATCAGTATCTTATCACATTTAGGTACTTTTATTATTGTTTCCATTTTACAGATGGGGAAACTGAGGCACAAACAGGTTAAGTAACTTGCCCAAGGTCACACAGTAGTAAGTGGTAGAACCGGGATTTGAACCTGGCAGTCTTACTCCAGTGTCTGTGTTCTTCATCATCATTCTGTGTTGCCCTTTCAGAACTTATTGTTTAACCTTATGCTAGCCTTTGTGTTGGGGATTTTCTGTGAAATGTGAGTCTCTGTAAAAAAAATGCAACAAGAACAACATGCTTTAGTTCACAAAATGGACGTTTGTGGCGTTAGTTTCCTTTTAGAAAGCGAAAAGTTCTGTTTGTGGTAGCATGGGATTTGAAGTCTGACAGAAATGATTTTTTCATTTTTTTGTTTTTTTGACTGCAGGCTTTATTTGAATCTAACCTTTCTTTCTTTTTTTTTTTTTAACGTCCTCTTTCTTTCCAGGATACAATCCAGGGTACCAAATTGCATTTAGTTGTCATGTCTCCTTAGCATAGCTGTGACAGTATCTCAGTCTTTCCTTGTTTTCATGACCTCAAACAGTTTTGAGGAGGACTGGTCAACTGTTTTGTAGAAGGCCCTGAATTTGGATTTGTCTGCTGTTTTTCTCATTACTAGATTGGGGTTGTGGGGTTTGGGGAAGAATACACAGAGGTGAAGTAGCATTCTTGTCACATCATGAGAGGATGCATGTTGTCCATGGAGTCACTGGCGATGTTAACCTTGCTCACTCGGGTGGGGTAGCATGTGCTCAGCTTCTCCTCTGTAAAGTCCCTTTTCCCCCTTTCCCTCTTCTGTTGTTTGGCAGTGAGTCACCAAGTGTAGCCCACTCTCAATGTGGAGGTGTGGTGGAATTCAGCTCCACCTCCTGAAGGGGGTAGCATCTATGTATATTATTTGGACTTCTTTACAGAGTTCCCCTTCTCCCCATTTGTTTAGTCACTCATTCATTTATGTCACTATGGACTCATTTATATTTATTTTACACTTCGTTTTATACCTTGTTCCAACTTTGGCCATTGGGAGTTCTTTTAGGTTGGCTTCTGTGTCATTTTGACATGCCCCCATCCTTTTGTTTTCTGAGTTTTCCCTTACTTTCTGACATTACCAGATGCTCCAGGCTCATCTAGTATATTTCCCCATGTAGCTCTAGAATCAGCTATTTCTCCAAGGAGTCCTGGTACCTTTTATTAGAGTATAATATTAGAAACCAAGATTTGGGTGCTGAGTGTGCTTGCTGCTACGGGGGTGTCGTAGCTCCTGGGCTTTCTCAGTGGACGGAGCTGGGTAATATATGTATGTATACTAACGGACCTGGTTTTAAATGTCACCTCCACTTTGTGTTAGCTGTGGGATTTTTGGTAAGTTATTTATCTTCCTCAGTGTTGGTAATTCCATTTGTAAAATGGAGATCATAATACTTACCTTTCAGGATACTTTTAAGCATCAAAATTAATTACTGTAACGTAATATATTTACAAATAATATCATTTAAACTATAGTTTGTAACAGACGTATACTATAATTATTACTTGGGCATAAATACTTCTTTGTTATGAAGTCTATAAGGATGAACTTTGTGTGTGTGTGTGTGTGTGTGTGTGTATTTTGTAGGCATCTAAAAGGCAGAAAAAAGTATGTAGTAAAAGTATCTTTAAGTGCTTTTATTTTAAACCCTAGGGGTCATTGAGAAAGAGGAAATGATTCATTGTTTTTTTTCATAGTCCGAATTCCGCTGAAAAAGTGAAAGCTAATAAAGATGTAGCTTCACCTCTGAAGGAACTGGGTTTAAGAATCAGCAAGTTCTTGGTGAGTAAAAATGAGCACCGGCTCAGTTTATTACCTGCAGTGTGGATGAGAGTGGTTATATCGTTAGTGATTTTGGTGAAAATTCCTTTTATTTCAGTTTTGGAGATGAGATTGAGCATACTGTGTTTCAAAATACCCAAGTTGCAACTCTTCTTGCTAAAAGCCACAGATCAAGTTGCCTGACCTGGTTACTTCTATCACAGAGTTTTCTTCAGCACATGTGGTGGTCTTTAAATTGGCTAGATTGTATTTAAATATGTAGCTGTTTTCTTTTCATTTTGGAAACTCAGATCGCACCTCTATAGTACTGTTCTTGGGGAATCAGCCCGGTTGTTTCTGACCTGTAAATTACATGTCAGTGACTGCCTCCTTTTTTCTCCTATTTGGGTTAAAATTGTTATGTTGTATGGAATCTTTTGAAAGGGTTTTGTTGATTCAGGTTCTGTGTCCATCGCAGAGGACAAACCTTTAGAATGCTCTCATGGTGTGTGGTTTCCTCACTGAGAACCTCTGTGTTTCAGGGTCTTGATGAAGAACAGAGTGTACAGTTACTCCAGTGTTACCTTCAAGAGGATTACAGAGGTACCCGGGGCTCACTGAAGGTTGGTAGTTACGTGCAGCTCCCTTCTACTTTTATCCTTTTCCTTGTTGGTTTGAGATAACGTAGGGTTTTGCTATCAGTTCTTTGCAGCACGGGTAGGTGATGAGATATAGTCCTTCTCAGGAAAGACTAAAGGCTTAAAAAAACATACTTAAGGGGCTGGCCCCCGTGGCCGAGTGGTTGAGTTTGCTCATTCTGCTTCGGTGGCCCGGGGTTTCACTTGTTTGGGTCCTGGGCGTAGCACTGCTCATCAAGCCATGCTGAGGCGGCATCCCACATGCCACAACTAGAAGGACTCAAAAGTAAAATATACAGCTATGTACTGGGGGGCTTTGGAGAGAAGGAAAAATAAAATCTTAAAAAAAAAAACCCAAAATCAAAGAAACAAAACAACATACTTAAGCTGAGTTCTGTCCTCAGACTTGGAGGGGTGGAGAGGT